CCGTCCGTGCTGTGGGTGACGTCCGTGATGCGGGTGCCGTCCGTGGTGCGGGTGCCGTCCGTGGTGCGGTTGACGTCTGTGGTGCGGGTGACGTCCATGGTGCGGGTGATGTCCGTGGTGCGGGTGTTGTCCGTGGTGCGGGTGACGTCCGTGGTGCGGGTGACGTCCGTGGTGCGGGTGACGTCTGTGGTGTGAGTGCCGTCCGTGGTGTGGGTGACGTCCATGGTGCGGGTGACGTCGGTGATGCGGGTGACGTCGGTGATGCGGGTGACGTCGGTGATGCGGGTGATGTCCGTGATGCGGGTGACGTCCGTGATGTGGGTGACGTCGGTGATGCGGGTGACGTCCGTGGTGCGGGTGACGTCGGTGATGCGGGTGACGTCCGTGATGCGGGTGACGTCCGTGATGCGGGTGACGTCCGTGATGCGGGTGACGTCCGTGGTGCGGGTGACGTCGGTGATGCGGGTGACGTCGGTGATGCGGGTGACGTCGGTGATGCAGGTGACGTCCTTGATGCGGGTGACGTCCGTGATGCGGGTGACGTCCGTGGTGCGGGTGACGTCGGTGATGCGGGTGACGTCGGTGATGCGGGTGACGTCGGTGATGCAGGTGACGTCCTTGATGCGGGTGACGTCCGTGATGCGGGTGACGTCCGTGATGCGGGTGACGTCGGTGATGCGGGTGACGTCGGTGATGCGGGTGACGTCCGTGATGTGGGTGACGTCGGTGATGCGGGTGACGTCGGTGATGCGGGTGACGTCCGTGGTGCGGGTGACGTCCGTGATGCGGGTGACGTCGGTGATGCGGGTGACGTCCGTGATGCGGGTGACGTCGGTGATGCGGGTGACGTCCGTGATGCGGGTGACGTCCGTGATGCGGGTGACGTCCGTGATGCGGGTGACGTCCGTGATGCGGGTGACGTCCGTGATGCGGGTGACGTCGTTGATGTGGGTGACGAACGTGGTGCGGGTGACGTACGTGATGTATGTGACGTCCGTGGTGCGGGTGACGTCGGTGATGTGGGTGACGTCGGTGATGCGGGTGATGTCCGTGGTGCGGGTGACGTCAGTGTTGCGGGTGACGTCAGTGATGCGGGTGACGTCCGTGATGCGGGTGACGTCCGTGATGTGGGTGACGTCCGTGATGTGGGTGACGTCCGTGGTGCGGGTGACGTCCGTGATGCGGGTGACGTCCGTGGTGCAGGTGACGTCCGTGGTGCGGGTGACGTCCGTGATGCGGGTGACGTCCGTGATGCGGGTGACGTCCGTGATGCGGTTGACGTCCGTGGTGCGAATGACGTCCGTGATGGTGATGCGGGTGACGTCCGTGATGCGGGTGACGTCCGTGGTGCGGGTGACGTCGGTGATGCGGGTGCCGTCGGTGATGCGGGTGATGTCGGTGATGCGGGTGATGTCCGTGATGCG